AACCACAAGTGTGAGGACTGGTACAGACCATCCCAGACCCTGCTGAGCCCCAGCAGCAAATACTGCAGTAACTCCCCCAGCGAGCAGAGACCTCGGGATGAGCTCAGGTGTCCTGCTCGGCCTCAGACCCACAGCAGTGAATCACCTCTTCAGGGCTTGGCTTACAAAAGCACTTTCAAGCTTGAGCTAAAGCAAGACAAAGCTTCACAAAAACATGTACTGAAGTTGAGGGCAGCAGCACAGAGCCCGGGACTGCTTCCTTGGCTGCACACACTTCCAGCCCCTCTACCAGTAGGGAGGCAGCATCTCCCTGAGCCTGTCCCATCTTATCCACCACCCTGCTTTCAACCTGCATGGTGCAAAACATCCAACAGCCTGATCCCCTGGTCTGTACCAGACAGTGACAGTTCCATATGAACCTCACAGATCCCCAGACTGGTTTGAGTTATTAAGCACCTTAAATTCATCCAGTCCCAACCCCTACCACGGGCAGGGACACCTTCCACTAGAGCAGGTTGCTCCAAGCCCCTGTGTCCAACCTGGCCTTGAACACTGCCAGGGATGGGGCAGCCACAGCTTCTCTGGGCACCCTGTGCCAGCGCCTCAGCACCCTCACAGGGAAGAGCTTCTGCCTTGTATCTAACCTGAACTTGCCCTGTTTCGGTTTGAACCCATCACCCCTTGTCCTATTGCGCCACTCCCTGATGAGGGTCCCTCTCCAGCATCCTTGTAGCCCCCTTCAGACCCTGGAAGCTGCTCTGAGGTCTCCAGCAGCTTCTCTTCTGAACAGCCCCAATGTTCTCAGCCTGCCAATGAACATCTTGAACACACCAAGACAGGCAGATACAACACAAGGCACACGGCATGTCCGGCTGGATCCCCTTGTACCAGCACTCTCTGATGGGGGCCTCTTGCTTGTAGCCAAAGCCCTCCTTTAATTCCCTGAAGTTGCCCACTCCAGGGAAGGATGAGGTGCCCGAGTGCACACATACATAAAAATGAGCTCCTAAGCTTAAGTCCTGTTTATATTCTAGGAGTCCTCCCTATGCACTTCAATCCACAGAACCAAGTCTAACTTACTCTGATGTTATAAGCTCTTACATCAAAGCTGCTTACAGGAAGGAGATCACACCAAGGAAGATGTCAGCAGCGGGGTGACACACAGCCAGTAAATATGTGGAGTCACAACTGCCCCTGCCAGCACCAGGAGAAGTCACCAAGGTCACAGGGGAGGCTGAACGCTGAAGAACACGTTGTTTGCATCCTCCTGGTTGTATGAAGTCGGAGGCACCAGCATGTACAATTGTAGGAACAAAGACTGACATGACCTCGGGGGGTACATGGAGACCTGTCAGACTGTTGCTGAGCTGGCTGTCTTGTGAGCACTCCACTCGAAAGGGAACGGCAGGCGACAG